ATTTTTCAAAATTTTCAAAATTCCACCGACTGATGCGTTGCGGAAGCGGTCCCTCTCGGACTGTTTCTGATGTAGTGTGTCTGACGAATACGGTCTGTGCATGTCTGTGGCTCTGCACGGACCGGTCTCTGTAAGACACATCTCTGACGTGCCGTCTCTGAGAAGCCCACGTGTGAAGGAGAACAAGTGAGACAGACGCGGACCTGTTGAAACAAGAGTGCTGCAGAGGCCGGTTGGTGCAGACAACGAGGAAGACAGCAACTGGGTGAGATGGAGGCCGAGTTCGGCAGAGACACGATGTGGCATTCACCGAGACTGGCATGCATCTCTTGATGAGATCTTTGAAAAAAAATTGAAGATTTTCAAAATTTTCAAAAAATTAAAAAATGCTTCAAATTGTTCAAAAAGCGCACAGAACCGAAAAAAATTGAAAAATTTCACATCAAACATTTTTTCTGAAGTCTCCCAAACAGATGCCTGCCAAACTCGTTGAATGACTTACCCTTTCTCTTGCGGACTCGGCCTCTATCTCACCACGGTTGCTGCCTGCGTCGTTGTCTGCACCAACCGATCTCTGCAGGACTCGGTCTCTGACGATCTGGGTCTCTGCCTTACGTGTTGTCTGCTGGACCGGGGCCTCTCAGAGAAGGCACGTCAGAGCCGAGTCATACTGAGGACGGTCCGTGCAGAGGCCGAGTCAGGCACAATCCGCATTCGTCGGAGACACAGTACATCATAAACAGTCTGAGAGAGACCGGTTCTTCATGGCAACAGGTGAGAGGAATTTTGAAAAATTTCAAAATGCGCATCTCTGAAAATACATAGTCCGTTAGAGAACGGCTGAAGCAGAGATCGTGTGAAGCAATGATATAGTCTAACAGACACCGAATGCAGATGCTGAGTCCTACAGAGGCTGGAAGTTGCAGAAGCAGCGTCTAGGTGAAACCGGGGCTTGCAGAGAATGCGTCCAGCATAGACCGAGTCTTGCAGAGACCGGGAGTGTCAGTGATTTTTTCTGGTAGGTTTCGCGTGATTAGAATTTTCACAAAAATTTTGAAGATGTTATTTTTCGAGTTTTTTTAGTTTTGTGCGCTTTCTGGACAATTTCCAGCATTTTTGATTTTTTGAATATTTTGAAAAATTTGACTATTTTCAAAATTATTCCAATACGTCCCTTACGAAATCCGGTTTCTTCTTACCCTGTCTCTAACAGTCCCTGTCTCTGCCGGATTCGGTCTGTGCACGATCCGGTCTCTGTATGCCTCAGTCTCTAAAAGGACCTGGTTCTCTACAGGCAGGTTGATGCAGAGAAAAAGACGTGAAACAGACCGAGTTTAGCATATACACCGAGCTGCAGACACTGAGTCCTACAGATGCCGGAAGATGCAGAGGCAGTACCTATGTGAGACCGGGGGTTGCAGAGACTGATTCCAGCGGACAACGAATCTTGAAGAGACCGTGAGTGTCGGAAACTTGTTCTGGCAGGGATCGCGTGGGGAGAATTTTGATTTTTTTTTTAAATTTTCGAAAAATCGAAAAATGCTGGAAGCTGCATAAACAGCGTATACAACTAAAATTTTTCGAAATTTTTCAAAAGAATTTTGAATTTGATATTTTTCAAAAAAAATTAGTTTTGTGCGCTTTTTGGTCCAACATTTTTTATTTTTGGAAAATTTCATAATATGAGTAAAAAATTTGAATTATTTTATTTGTTTTAATTTAATATAGAATGGTTTGTGATAAATTTGTAAATTACTTGAATTTTGAAAATTTTTGTTTCGGCAGGCCTATGCAGAGGCAGGATGGTGTTCCATTGTTCCTGTGTTCCGGTACGCCTGTGCCCCAGCAGCCGTGTTTAGCG